ATTCTTCCAATCCATGAACAGGGTATGTGCTTCCACTTTTTTATATCTTCCTCTATTTCTTTTTTCAATGACCTGTAGTTTTCTGTGAATAGGTCCTTTATTTCTTTGGTTAAATTTATTCCTAGGTATCTTAATTTTTTTGGCGCGATGGTAAATGGGATTGCTTTTTCAGTTTCTCTTTCTGTGAGTTCATCATTGGTGTACAAGAATGCCATCGATTTCTTGACGTTAATTTTGTATCCTGCTACTTTGCCAAATTCATTTATTAAGTATAGTAGATTTTTGATGGAGTCTTTAGGGTTTTCTATGTATAATAGCATGTCATCTGCAAAGAATGAGTTTCACTTCCTCATTTCCAATTTGGATCCCTTTTATTTTTTCTTCATGTCTGATTGCTGTGGCGAAGACTTCCAGTACAATGTTAAATAAGAGTGGCGAAAGTGGACATCCCTGTTTTGTTCCTGTTCTTAATGGAAATGTTTTTAGTTTCTATCCATTGAGTATGATGTTGGCTGTAGGTCTTTCATATATGGCCTTTATTATGTCGAGATATGGTCCCTCTATTCCCACATTGCTGTGCGTTTTTATCAGAAATGGATGTTGGATTTTGTCGAATGCTTTTTCAGCATCTATTGATATGATCATGTGGTTTTTATTCTTCAATTTGTTTATGTGGTGTATCACATTTATTGATTTGCGAATATTGTACCAGCCTTGCATCCCTGGAATGAATCCCACTTGGTCATGGTGAATAATTTTTTTTGATGCATTTCTGGATCTGATTTGCTAGTATTTTGTTCAGCATTTTGGCGTGTATGTTCATCAGGAATATTGGCCTGTAGTTTTCTTTCTCCGTAGTGTCTTTTTCTGGTTTTGGAATTAGAATTATGCTGGCCTCATAGAATGTGTTTGGAAGTCTTCCTTCTTCTTGAAATTTTTGAAATAGTTTGAGGAGAATGGGTGTTAGTTCTTTTTTGAATGTGAAGCCATCTGGGCCTGGGCTTTTGTTTGCTGGGAGAGTCTTGATTACCTCTTCAATTTCGTTAGCTGTTATTGGTCTGTTCAAGTTTTCTATCTCTTCCGGGTTCAGTTTTGGGAGACTGTGTTTCTAGAAATTTGTCCATTTCGCTTAGATTGTCGAATTTGTTGCCATATAGTTGTTCATAGTAGTTGTTAACGATCTTTTGTATTTCTGTGGTGTCAGTTGTTACTTCTCCTCTTTCATTTCTGATTTTGTTCATTTGGGTTCTCTCTCTTTGTTTCTTGGTGAGTCTAGCTAAGGGTCTATCAATCTTGTTTATCTTTTCGAAAAACCAGCTCTTTGTTTCATTGATCCTTTGAATTGTTTTTTTGGTCTCTATGTCATTTACTTCTGCTCTGATCTTTACTATTTCCTTCCTTCTACTTGCTCTGGGATTTTCTTTTTGTTTGCTTTCGAATTCTTTAAGTTGTGAGGTTAGACGGTCAATTAGAAATTTTTCTTGTTTTGTCAGGTAGGCCTTAGTGCTATGAACTTCCCTCTCAGAACTGCTTTCGCTGCATCCCATAGATTTTGTGTTGTTGTATGTTCATTTTCTTTCATTGGTTTCCAGGAAGTTTTAATTTCTTCCTTGATCTCCTCGGTGACCCATTCATTGCTTAATAACATGCTATTTAGCCTCCATGTGTTGAAATGTCTTTGCATGTTCTTGTTGCAATTGATTTCTAGTTTCATGCCATTGTGATCTGAGAAGATGCTTGATATGATTTCAATCTTCTTGAACTTGTAGAGATTTAGTTTGTGTCCTATCATGTGGTCTATCTTTGCGAATGTCCCATGTGCACTTGAGAAGAAGGTGTATTCTGTAGTTTTGGGGTGTAATTCTCTGTAGATATCTATTAAATCCATTTGGTCTAGTGCTTCATTTAGAGTCTCTGTTTCCTTGCTAATTGTTTGCCTAGAGGATCTATCCAGTGCTGTCAACGGGGTGTTGAAGTCCCCTGCTATGATTGTATTGTTGTCGATTTCTCCTTGAAATCTTCCAGAAGATTTTTAATATATTTTGGTGCTCCTACATTGGGTGCATATATGTTTATCAAGGTTATATCTTCCTGTTGGATAGATCCTTTCAATATTATGTACTGGCCTTCTTTGTCTCTAGTTATGGTCTTCATTTTGAAACCTACTTTATCAGATATGAGAATTGCTACCCCAGCTTTTTTTTGCTTTCCATTTACTTGGAAAATTTTTTTCCATCCCTTCACTTTCAACCTATGTGAGTCTTTTGTTGTGAGGTGGGTCTCTTGTAAACAACATATAAATGAGTCATGCTTTCTTATCCAATCAGCCACTCTGTGTCTTTTTATGGGAGCATTCAATCCATTTACATTTAAGGTGATTATTGATATGTACTTATTTATTGCCATTTTTGTTTAGTGTGGTTCTATTTTTCTTCCCATTTCTAACTGCTAATTACAGCAGTCCTTTTAACATTTCTTGCAGTGCTGGTTTGGTGCTAATGTTTTCCCTTAGTCTTTTTTTTTGTCTGGGAAGCTCTTTATTTGACCTATTTTGAATGATAGCCTTGCTGGGTAGAGTAGTCTTGGGTTCAGCTGAGAGTCTTATCGGGTTTCCTTTGTAGGTAATCTGTTGCTTATCTCTTGCTGTTTTTAGGATTCTCTCTTTGTCTTTAATTTGTGGCATTTTAATTACTATGTGTCTTGGTGTGGGCCTGTTTGGGTTCTTCTTACTTGGGACTCTCTGTGCTTCTTGAACTTGAATGCCTTCTTCCTTCACCAAATTATGGAAGTTTTCTGTCACTATTTTTTTTAAATATATTCTCTATCCCTTGCTCATTTTCTTCTTCTTCGGGGACTCCGACGATGCGAATATTATTACGTTTACAGTTGTCCCACAGTTCTCTTAAGCTGTCTTCCTGTTTTTTAATAGTTTTTTCCTTTTGTTTTTCTGATTGGTTGATTTTTTCTACCCTGTCTTCTAATTCACTGATCTGGTCCTCAGCTTCCTCTACTCTGCTTTTTAAACCTTCCAATGTGTTTTTCATTTCTGATATGTCATTTTTTATCTCTTCTTGATGGTTTTTAATTCCCAATTGGCTTATTTTCAGTGTCTCTATGTCCTTAGTCATGCTGTTCAGCTTCCTCAAGATCATGGCTCTGAATTCTAGCTCTGTTAACATGCCTAATTGCTCCACATTGATCTCATCTTCAGTGGAGGTCTCTTGCTCTTTCATTTGGCTTCTGTTTCTGTGTTTCACCATTGTGGCTATCACTGTGGGCTTTGGAACCTGTCAAGTTTTCCCTGTGGGTGTTGGTGTTCTGCTGTTTGTGGCTCCCTCTCCTGTGTTTAGATGAGCGAGGGAGGACCCTCGTTGAACACCACTGTCAAGTCTTACTTTCCTGGTTAAAGTTGCTAGCCCAGGAAAGGTACTGTTATCCTCTAGCTTTTTGCCTGGAGGCTAGCAGTCGAGGTTACTTGATGAGTTTTGGGTTGTCAATTGATTGAAAAACTCCCTCAGGTGCTCAGCACAAGAGGATTTCACGAGGGTGGGACAGATGCTGGTTGTTAATGAGCCTCAATTAGCACTTCAATGGCCCACAGGGTGGGGTTGGATCTCCGAGGGATGGGCTGCTGCCTCTCCTCAGAGCCCTGGGAAGGAGCAATATGGCCACTGTCCTGCGTGGCTGCCACTCAGCAAGAGCTCTGAGCGCCCTCCAAATCCCGAGTGTCCCGACACAGTTCCAGTCCAATCTGCCCTCCCTCTGCCGGGGCCCAAGGTGAGTGGCTGTGGCTTTTTTAGCCTCTGTCCCGGCTCTGTGCTGTGGAGCCGCTTGGGAGTGTAACCCGAGGGCGCCGCTCCCAGCTAAGGCCGCTGCCGAGCTGCCGACCATGGGCTCTCAGCCCTCGTCTTGCGCCTTCGCAAGCCTACCAGGATTGAGTCAGTGTCTCTCGTTATATGGTCCTCGCAAGCTGCTTTTCTGTTGCTTTTTCCCGTCAATTTGTCTGTGTTATAGTTGTAATTCCAGTTTGGTTCTGGGAGACGGTCTGTGTAGCTTCCGTTCACTCCGCCGCCATTTTGGAATCTCAGACTAGATATATTCTTAAAGTTATTTTATGACAGGCAAACATCTTCCTATTTTCTTTCTTTTTCTTTCTTTTTTTTTTGCATTTATCTTCAGATAAAGCGGGAGGAAGGTAGAGAGAGAAACATCGACATGAGAGAGACACATCGACTGGCTGCCACCCACACGACCCCAACAGGGGCCTGAGATGAACTGCAACTGAGGTATGTGCCCTTAGTGGGAACCGAACCAGGGACTCTCTGGTCCATGGGCTGACGCTCTAACCACTGAGCCAAACCGGCCAGGGCAAACATTTTCCTATTTTTTAGTTTTTAATTGCACTTCAGAATCAGTCTCATTTTATATTTTCTAGTTACTCTAATTACAACATGAAGAAGGCGAAAGAGGTAAGTGGAAAAGGGAGGAGAAAGGTCTTGATCCTTAGCTTGACAATAGCAGGGTGACAATCCACCATTTACATGTATCTCAACCAGATTCCAAGAAACAATTCTTATATTTCTGGGGAAAATCCAAGTATATATTCTTGAGACCACATGCTCAATTTATTTCACCATTTCTCCCAATTCAATGACAAATTTCTGTGTGGTGAATCACTTGAATTAACATTTCAGTAAGTTATTTTCCTAAATAGCTTGCTACTCTGAGCAGTGTAAGTACTAGGAGCTGTTGTTTATTGGGTTCCTATTCTGCATCAGGTGCTTTGCATACACATCTTTATGTGATCTCCAGAACAGTCCAGAAAGGAAAGCATTATGATCGAAGTTGTATGTGCTGCTCCAAACTTCAAATCTAATAACAAAGAACACCTGAAACTAATATAATAATGTGTGTCAACTAAAGTTTTTAAAAGATCTAATAAAGAATAATTATTTAAATCTTTATATACAATCCAATCTTTGGGGCATGAAAAGTCTTACATTGATATTTTCTAATTGCAGTAGATGTACTGTATAATATGACTTCACATCTTCTGACAAGAACTTCACACTGAATCCTGTTTCTTTAAACAGCATCTCCTGGTCTTCCTTTGTTGGCCAGTACTGTGCACATTTAACCTAAATTTAAGAATATGTATTTAATATTGAGACATTATAAAACCATAAAAAGTTTGGGATAAAAACAAATCACATACATACATGCTATTTTTTTTCAATTACCCAAATCTAAGAATAGTCACACTAATATTTGATGTTTATTTTAATCGATGGGCATTTTATAAGGGCAGATTTGTAAAATTTCCTATAATTTATATACTAACAGCCATAAACAGATAGCATGTTCATAAAATAAAAAAAGCACGATAACCTATAGTTTAACATCATACTGGCATTCACTTTGGTTCCAAAAGTATCAAACATTTACAAGTATCTTCAAACAGTATTGAAAAGGTTCTATTTTATAAGTACTTTCCATAAGTACCTATGAATCTGCTACTAAATGCTACATATCTAGAAATAGCACTGCGTATTTACTTACTAAAATTAAGTGAGGGAAGAGAATCAGAAGGTAACCCCCTTTACCAAGAATTGTTACATTTTGGCAAACTACTAATATGGAATTCAATTTGTTACCACAAAAGCATCTTCCTAAAAGCCAAATTATGAAGCCAGTAGACTGAGGCAAGGTTAGATACAGTCATTTTACTAATAGACCACATCATTTTAGAAAAGAAAACTAAACTAAAAGGAACAAAGGCATGAATAAACAGAACAGATTATGTCTTAAATGGAAAAGAAGAGGAAAGATAAAAAATTAAAAAAAAAAATGAGAGTGACAAATAGAATTAAAGAAACATTGTGACAAATATAAAAATAGGCATAGAAAAATCTAACATATGTATAATAGGAGGACCCAAAGAACACCAAAGCAAGCAAGGGAACAACAAATACTAAAAGTATGATTCAATAAATTTTTCTTAAAAAAAAAAAAAGATATTTCAAATCATGTATGGAAAGATAATACACCTGGAGAAACTGACCAAGAATAACTAACACTAACACATATTTAGATAAAATGAATAGAATTCGAAGAAAAAATCCTTTGGGTAACCTAGGTGAAAAGAACAAGTGATGCCCTGGCCAGTTTGGCTAAGCGGTTAGAGCATCAGCCCACGGACCAGAGAGATCTGGATTTGGTTCCCGCTAAGGGCATGTACTTCCGTTGCAGTTTGTCTCCAGCCCCGGTTGGGGTCTTGTGGGTGGCAACCCCTCGATGTGTCTCTCTCACATCGATGTTTCTCTCTCTCTCTTCCTCCCTCTCACTCTATCCAAAGATAAATGCAAAAATGTCCTTGGGTGAGGATAAAAAACAAAACAAAACAAAAAAGAACAAGTGACTTATAAAGGGAAAAAAAAAATTTCCATTTGACTTTGACAGTAATTTGTAATGCCAGAAAGAAATGGAGTAATATATTTAAGTTGCTCAAAGAACACCAAATACAACTCAAGGATTTTATGCCTTGCCAAACTGACTATTAAACATTAAGATAGCAGATAAACTGTCATCAATATGTAAGAAATCAGGGACTGTAATTAATGCTCATGAGTCCTTCCTTATGATCCACTGGAGAATGACTATAGACAGAACAACAGGAGAGACATCAACAAAGACGGGTGATGATTATTAAATACACATTTACATGTAGAAATAAGATTTTAAAAGGATATAAGAGAGACTCTAGTATGCAATATACTCTGACAATGTAGGTAAAGTATAAGTAAAAAACAAAAACAAAAAAAAGAGAATGGGGGAAAATAGAAAAAATTTTAAACTTTTTTCAGTGATTATTCAGTAATGGAGTTGATACTGTTTTTATGAGTATGTAATCTTTGTGTGTAATTTGGGACAAAGTAAATGAGTCATTATTCTACATGCGTAGTGTCTTCTGAGAACCAAGATTCACGGTATGAAAAAAGAAGGTAACACATACTGGTAGAAGGAGTTAAAGCCAACCTCATAGTCCTAAATTTGAATTGGAAATATCAGTATAAACTCTTGAGTTATTGTTATCTTAACACACAAACATTTTTCTCTAGCTCTGTTCCCTGAAAAGCTTTAAAAACAATTACCAACCCAGTAGCAAGACTCCTTCAAGAAATACCTGATTCTATGAAGAAGAGTTTAAGACAGCCTTCAATGTATAGTTACTCCAGATAGCAAGAAGACTATTAAGGACTGAGAGATATGCGTTAAAAGGACTCAGGCTCAACCCAACTTGAAGGGATTCCTGCTTAACCAATGAAGTGAAATGAATCAAATATGTTTAAATCCATGAGTTCATAATTGATAATGCCCCTCTTTCCCTCACACACAAAAGCCTAACTGTTCACCTTTTGAGGACACTAGGGAATCAACTCTATTTTAAAAACTGCTTTTCCTATATAAACGTGGTCAAGTAACTAGAATGGATAATTTTTTTTTTTTAATATTTTTTAATCTTCACCAGAGGACATTTTTCCATTTTTTGTTCAGATAGAGTGGGAGGGAGAGAGAGAAACATTGACGTGAAAGGGACACATCGAGTGGCTGCCACCCGCACGACCCAACCAGGGCCAGGGACAAACTGCAACCGAGGTACGTGCCCTATCGGGAACCAAACCCAGGACTCTCAGGTCTGCAGGTCGATGCTCCAACCGCTGAGCCAAACTGGCCAGGGCAGAATGGGTAATTTCTTTATAGAAGTATTTCAACATAAACTCAAGAAGGAATGGCAAAATTGGAATCAAACTTCTCAAACTGACAATATCATCATCATTAATTTTTAAATCATGTTAGAAACCATGAAAAACCACTATATGTTCTGGTATGTCAATGCCACTTCAGTTCAGAAATAAATTAGAAAAATTTTCACCATCATAGAAAATCAGCAACTATAAATTTAAATAACAGTAAGAATCAAGCCCTGGCTGGTTTGGCTCAGCGGTTAGAGCATTGGCCTGCGGTCCAGAGAGACCCGGGTTCGGTTCCCGCTAAGGGCACATACCTCGGTTGCAGTTTGCCCCCGCCCTGGTTGGTTGTGCGTGTGGCAGCCACTTAATGTGTCCCTTTCACATTGATGTTTCTCTCTCTCTCTCCTTTCCTCTCTCTCCCCTCCCTCCCACTCTATCTGAACAAAAAAATGGAAAAATGTCCTTGGGTGAGGATTAAAAAAAAAAAAAAAGAATCAAGAATGTGAAGTAGAATAGTTCAAGATCTTAAAGCTGGAAGAGACCTTAATAGAAATACTTTGCAATTTGCTGGTTTGACAGAAAATTAATCTAAAGTTGCAAAAGTCAAAAGACTTAAGCAAAGTTATACCACTAATTCGCACTGTGTTTAGATTGTACTTCAAATTTCAAAAATTTCCCACTTACTGTCTCATGATCTAAGAGACAATAACAATGTATAATGATTTTTAAAATCCTGTCACTTTAATCATTTATAAAATTTCCAAGATTTGGATGGTAATAAATGGTAAAGATTCTAATAAAGCCTAGGTGTTCGAAAGTTCTATGTATACTACTAGTTAGTATTTGTTCTATTATATTTATATCTTGGAGGGTAGTGGTCTGCAATTGTTACTTAACTATTTAAGATAGGAAAAGGAAAGGATATACTAGTTCTTTAGCTCAGAAACATGCTGACCACCAGTCGTTAGCAATTAAAGGCCAAAAGTTATGAATGAATATCCCAAAAGAAATATGAAAACATTTATAAGCTAATGATCAAAAGCAGTACACTAAATTGTAAATATTACTCACCGATTCTTTCTCTACAACCCGGTTTAGCATAACAACAGCTTTCGTCTTTTGCTGCCAAACCATGAGCCAGAAATGACAACCTGTATTAGGAAGTGGACCCTGTACAAAGAAAAAGTAGATAAGAGAAAGGTGATGGAGTAAGGCTCAAGGAAAACTCCTTCAAGTATGCTTTTGGTTTGAAACCAATGTATTAGATCATAATTGATACATTAAGACTTTAAAAACACTTGAATAAAAAAATATACCTGAAATAGTTAGGATTTTAGTTATAAATGATTAAAATGGACTTTTATTCACTTAGGCAGAAAAGAAATTTTCAGGCTATCAGGTCATTTTCAGAGTTGAGGACTGGAGAACCAGGCTTGGGTAGGAACAAATGTCAAGGCAAGATTCTGCTCAAAGAAGAGTAAGCCTGGGACAATGCTCCTGATACTGTCATGTCTATCACCTTGCTTTGCTGGCATTACCATACCAAGGTAGCACAACCTATAAGGAAACCTGAGTCAAAACCTTTGGCGGGAATATCTTGACTGCTCATGAATTAGCTACAAAGGAGGCAGACAAAGGAAATTTCTGTCCTTCAGTTTCCACAGCAGAAAGAGAGGCCCTGTCTCCCACAGATCAGGACAGTCCAGCAAAAGAGGAAGTTTGTGTCATCACGGGCTGGCCAGCCAACCAACCCAAGTGAACTACAAAAAGATTTCCAGAAAAAGTAGAAATTTCAAAGTACCTGAACCACTATAAAACTGTTCATCTACAAAACTACAGCATCTGTGACCTCACTAGCAGACTTAAAAGGGGCAATATATTAAAATATTGCCGTAAGGGAAAAAAAATCAAGTATTATATACTTTGAATTATCTTCACATTGTGTTTAGTGGTAGCATAGGGCAGAAGAAAGGGCAAATAAGAGATGAAAGGCCATGCCCAAATGATAACTAATTGTAAATAACTGAAGGTTAAAATAAATGAGGTTTTAATGTACCTAAAGAAACTCAGCATGCATTCACCTTATAGGGCAGGGTTGTAGAGGGTGAGTAAAAGGCAGGGTGGGGACACTGGGCCAGGTCAGCCTGGTACTTCAGCTTCACAAGTAAAACAAGGTGATTCAAGTGGTGCCAGACTGAAAGAATCTTTAGGGCAATTTTATTCCCCGGTATGTAGCAGATGCTCTTAAACATTACTTGAATTAATAAATTCTAAGTTATAATAGTTTCTAAGTTATTAAAATACTATTACAAATCTATTAAGAATCCTCAGAAACTGCAAACTAATGTTTGAAGATACTGTCCTCACTCAACATATATTATCTACTGCTTGATCTACTTTTTAAAAAATTAATTAATTAATTTTTGTTACAGACGTTTCTCCTTTTTCCCCCACCTATTCCCGCCCCCCCCCCCCGCCCTGTCCCCAGCTTTGTTGTCAATGTCCATTGTTCATGCACACATGCATATAAGTTCTGTGGTTTCTCTCTCCCCCACCACCCCTGTTCTGGGAATTGTCAGTCTGTACCCCACTTCCACGTCTCTGGGACTACCCCATTCCTCAGACTATTATGTTCATTATATTCCACAAATAAGTGAGGTCATATGATACTTGTCTTTCTCTGTTTGGCTTGTTTCACGTAGGATGATACTTTCCAGGTCCCTCCATATCATCTCAAAGGATAAGAGATCTTTCTTTCTTACAGCTGCATAGTACTCCATTGTATATATGTACCACTGCTTTTTTATCCATTCGTCTACTGATGGACATTTGGGCTGTTTCCAGATCTTACCTATTGTAAATAGTGCTGTTATGAACATGGGGGTACATATATTCCTTCTGATTGGTGTTTCAGGCTTCTTAGGGTATATTCCTAGAAGTGGGATCCCATTTACCATTGTGGAAAAAAAAAAAAAAAGATACCTAGGAATAAACTTAACCAAGAAATAAAGGACCTAGTCACAGAAAACTTCAGGTCATTGAAAAAAGAAACAGAGGAAGATATAAAAAAGTGGAAGCACATACCTTGTTCATAGATTGGAAGAATTAACATCATTAAAATGTCCATACTACCCAAAGCAATCTATAGATTCAATGCAATCCCCATCAAAATACCAATGACATACTTCACAGAACTAGAACAAATACTTCAAAAGTTCATATGGAACAAAAAAAGACCTCGAATAGCCACAGCAATCTTGAAAAAGAAGAACAAAGTAGGAGGGATCACATTACCAGATTTCAGGTTGTACTACAAAGCCATAGTAATCAAAACAGCCTGATACTGGCACAAGAACAGGTATATAGACCAGTGGAACAGACACAGAACCCAGAAATGGACCCAAGGCAATATGCTCAATTAACATTTGACAAAGGTGGCAAGAGCATACAGTGGAGTAAAGACAGCCTCTTTAATAAATGGTGTTGGGAAAATTGGACAGCTACATGGAAAAAAAAATGAAACTAGACCACCACCATACACAACAATAAACTCAAAATGGATAAAAGACTTAAATGTGACTCATGAATCCATAAAAATCCTTGAAGAAAATGTAGGGAACAAAATTTCAGACATCATAAACAGCAGAATTTTCACTGATATATCACCTAAGGCAACAGAAACAAAGGAGAAAATGAACACATGGGACTACATCAAACTCAAAAGCTTCTGCACAGCAAAAGATACAATCATTAAAATGAAAAAGCAACCCACTATATGGGAGAGCATCATTGCCAATGACATATCAGATAAAGGGTTAATTTCCAATATATACAGAGTGCTCATACAACTCAATAAAAGGAAGACAAAGAACCCAATTAAAAAATGGGCAGGCCCTGGCCGGTTTGGCTCAGTGGTTAGAGCATTGGCCTGTGGTCCGGAGAGACCCGGGTTCAGTTCTCGCTAAGGGCATGTAACTTGGTTGCAGTTTGTCCCTGGCCCTGGTAGGGTCGTGTGGGTGGCAGCCACTCAATGTGTCCCTTTCACGTGGATGTTTCTCTCTCTCTCTCTCTCTTCCTCTCTCTCCCTCCCACTCTATCTGAACAAAAAATAAAAAAATGTCCTCGGGTGAGGATAAAAAAAAAAAAAAAATGGGCAGAGGAACTAAATAGACACCTCTCCAACAGGACATACAAATGGCTAAGAGACATATGAAGAAATGCTCAACATCACTAATCATCAGAGAGATGCAAATTAAAACTACAATGAGGTATCACCTCACACCTGTCAGAATGGCCACCATCAACAAATCATCAAACAACAAGTGTTGGCAAGGGTGTGGAGAAAAGGGGACTCTAGTACACTGCTGGTGGGAATGCAGACTGGTGCAGCCACTATGGAAAACAATATTAAAAATTAAAAATTGATCTACTTTTAAAACAAAACACTGTAAAGGTAAAAAGAGCAATAAGCAAATCTCCAGAAAAATGAATACCTTTCCTTTAATCTAAAAATATGGATGTATCAATCCACCAATGAAATCGCTCCTTAGTGTGTACACCGCCCCCACACCCACACACATTGTGTTAGTGTTTCTAAAAGGGGACAAGGGTTTATCTCTCAGCTTTCCCACTTACCAGCAAATGCTGCCAACTTTCTTCTGCAAAATGAAGATTTATACCAAGGGACTAATATAGATATTTAAAACATTCATAAGACTCAGAGGAAATGATGGTTAAAAAAACAACAAAGGACAATCAGAAGAGTTGAGTTTTAATAAACATTCAGCATCTCTAGTTTATTCTCTATCCTTTGAAATATTTTCTGAGTATGTTCTCTTTCCAATGTACTAGGTAAAAGATCAAGATCAGTGTCAGCCTTCATAGAAATTACAAAGGAGGAGAAAAGAAGTGCCTGTCCTACTGAAATACATCAAGTGCCCCAACAGTAAGGGGTAAACTATCAGATCTTTGGGAGTAGCAGCCTTGAACGTGAGGAGAGCACTGATTCAGAAAGGGAGAGGATCGGATGGAGATGGGAGTCGGGGTCCATTCCAAGCATAAGGCAAGGCATGTGCAAATTTAGGACACCTCTGGGAAAAGACAGATCAGTGAGGGCAAAGTGGAGGTATGCAGTAGAAAACTGCACCTGCAGAGTGTAAAGGGTCTTCAATTCAGGCAGTAGTCACCAAACTTTAAGAAGTGATGATCAGATTTGTATGTTACAAAAATAATTCTAGTGGCATTGTTAAATACGGATTAGGAAGAGAAGAACTGGTTGCGTGGAAATACATTAAAAAGCTGCTGCATTATAACATTAAATTTGAGAGGTCTGAAAAAAAGCAGAGGCAGACAATGAAAGGAAAGGATTCTGCAGATGATGAGGATAGTTTTAACCCAGATGAGAAAACTGGTAAAATTTTTAAATGCCTGGTAAAAAACTAGGTTTTAAAAATAAAGTAAAAAAGGTTGATAAAACAAACAAAACAAAACAAGAGTTTGATATAGAAAATGTGGACTTTGCAATGTCAATGAGTCATCTTGGTAAAAACCTGACAGGCTAGTAAGCCAGGACAAGTGGAATAGGGAAACTGAGGCAGATAAACAGTAGTTTGAAGTTGGTTACTAAAATCCTATATTCCCTAAACAAGGGACACTAAAGAGAAGTAAATGGCTTGCACCTCTCCCTAATCGGAGGGTAAACAGCTTAAATTACCCTACTTAGGTGGGTCTCTTGTAAACAACACATAGATGAGTCATGCTTTCTTATCCAATCAGCTACTCTGTGTCTTTTTATGGGAACATTCAATCCATTTACAATTAAGGTGATTATTGATATGTACTTATTTATTGCCATTTTTGTTTAGTGTGGTTCTAGTTTTCTTCCTATTTCTCCTGCTAATTACAGCATTCCTTTTAACATTTCTTGCAGTGTTGGTTTGGTGCTAATGTATTCCCTTAGCCTTTTTTTGTCTGAGAAGCTCTTTATTTGACCTTCTTTTTTGAATGATAGCCTTGCTGGGTAGAGTAGTCTTGGATTCAGATTCTTGTTTTCCATGACCTTGATTACCTCATGCCATTCCCTTCTGGCCTGTAGTGTTTCTGTTGAGAAGTCAGCTGAGAGCCTTATGGGGTTTCCTTTGTAGGTAACCTGTTGCTTCTCTCTTGCTGCT